CAATGTTTTCTCGAGAGATTTATCTTAACTCATTTATTCTTCGTACGTACTATGCAAGTTTCTTTTTAAAAAAAGGAGCCAATGTAGCGTCAGTAACCAGCCGGGATGCCGTAGAAAACTCTTCAGGCGATCTTGCCAGCATCTGAGTCATCAGGTACTAGTGAGTGCCATACCCTTCACAAAGACGGTCCTCACCAGCTTCCGTTCCAGTCTGCCAAAATCCACCCCTGGCGCCATCACCTGCACTCCCTCGAGCGAACCTCCTTGTCCTATTGTACAGCTTGACGGAGGCATAGGTTTGGTGGTCGCTTCGAGTATGCCCTGTTTGGCTCTGCTCTCTACAAATTCCAGGTCGCGAGAAGATGATCATGCGATGGATTGATGAGTTTAGACCTCTTCTAAACGAGTTTCAGATGCGGCAGATGTGCCCCTCCACAGAATCGGAAAGTGCACTTTTGCCGACTTCTCCATGCCCAAACCTGCCCCCTCGTGATAAAATCTCGTCGATGTTCCGCTGGTGTGCTCTTGCCCATCGTATAAGCGACTTTCTGGCCCCAAATACTGCTACAGGGGCGTACATAATCTGTATCGGATGTTCGGAAACAGAACATAACTATTAATAGCATTGCTCCAAGCCTTTCACAAGTTAACATTCCACTCACAACAGAGCTGAAGCGAGGCCGATTCTGGTAGAATCGCCGTCATCAGAGGCAGGCTATAAGCACAAGAGGGCCCGCATCACACATTGGGCGGGAATAATCATCTTTCTGTGGGATCAAAGAGAGACCGCTCGCTGTAGACTCTCACTTCTTCTTTAAAAATGGCACATTATCCCAAAAGGTAAAATAGTAATTTTACGATCTGTTCAATAGTTAACCATTGCAGATCTTCTGCCCATACCTACTTCCATTGTGACCACTGAAAATGGGTAGATCCTCCCTCACTTTGGTCCTTATAGCTGTCAGTTTTGTGACGAGATTACTAGTTTTTAGAAACTGTCGAAAGTGCAGCATGTATGCATTAAATCGCAGCACCTCCTCGTGGATTCATTTATCATTCCCAACGTCTAAATCTGCGATAATATGTCAAGTGAGCGCTATGAAAACATGTTATTATGCGGTTTGACATGATTTTGCGCTCATACTTTGAGCCAATGAAAATCGGAACTGGGCTAAGATAAGAATAAAAAAATGAGAAGCTTCTGTCATTTTTGCTTAACTAAAAACTCAAAAGTTCCTTCTTGGCTGGGAGAGAGCCTCGGGTAACCCATCCTACAACCTGGTGCTCCTGGGTAACAGAATCATCAGACATAGGAATGATAAATTTATGCTGGATAAATTAAAATTTGCTCTCTGCAAGTCGACATTGTACGAACAATTTTGTAAGTCCACCTTTATATTGTATAGACAGAATACATTTTTTCAATAGGCGTGCTGGAGTAAAGAGCAATGGTCCATTGGTTTCGTCAATTTATATTCACCTTATATATATTTATATATATGCCATAACTTGACATTCATGACCTTCTCAAGGCCTTATAAGACCAGATCCGAAATTATGAAAAGTTATTTCAGCTTGGTGTGAGGATTAGATCTGAAAGAGGTTGAAAATGGAGACAACTTTGGATAAAGATTAGCTTTTCGACTATAATGTGGCGTAAGTTGACGTCAGAGCCTGGTCTTCTCCTTCTTGGTGATCCCAAAGCCATGTGACAGAAAAGATAGCGTCTATTTTAGGATAAACTTCATCTGAAGCATAATTAACAATTAAATTTACAAATAAATGGAATAACCAAGCCTTAGAGAAATATGAAGAGTAAAAATATCATATAAATCATATCAACTCATAGCATATAAAGATAAAGGAGACTGCGACCAAGCAGAAGGCCGCACTATCTTGGTCTTCATATCTACGATCTAAATATATCATGCTTAGATTATTCCTAAAAAGGCGAAAATATTTATAAATAATTTTTCTGTACTTCCGGTAGATCATATATATGAGATAAATTCATCGTACTTCATCTAAGTTGCTAAAGAACTGGCGGTTGAATTTGTCTACAGTCATATGAATAGGCCTCATGCTTCCGTGGAATTTCACATAGCCTTACTTCCCGAAATATATTCTCATCCAGGCTGTAGTGGACTGCAATTTCAACCTCGCCAGGGTTGCGGTAATGCAGCGTACAATCTAGACACGTTAACGATTACGCCACACTATCATGAATGCCCTTGTACCACACTTTTCCCATATCACTTTTTTGAGTTGTATTTGATATAGCAATCAGCCGAATTGCTTATTTTGGGTTTCAAGTAGGTTTTCGGGTCCAAAAAAAGAATTTGTTTATGATATTTGAGTCTCAAAAGCTTACTTATAAACGAAAATGAGTAATGTGGTCGATCGCCAAGGAAAATAGGAAATGGGAAAAGCCCTGCCTTTATGGAATTTTAATTTATCCTTTGATCCGATTGCACTCATGAAAGTGTAGTGTAATGACTAACATGTTTAGACTATACGCTGCACCACCACAAGCCAGGTTCGAGTCCCGCTGGAGATGATGGTCAGACCAGTTCAGGGCAGGTAGTTCGAACCTGCCGTTCAATCCAGTCTGGACGAGAATACCTTTTGGGAAGCAAGGCTATGTGGAATTCAGTGAACACATAAGACCTACTTGTATGATTGCTGGAAAAGTCAATAACTAGTCCTACCACACTTTAAACGAAATAGGGTGATTTTATCACATCAAGCAAAAATTTGTTTGTTCTAGAATAAGCACATGGGAATTCGCTTTTATGCAGCCATTAAAAATACTGACCGCCCCACAACAACCTCTATACAACGAAATGAGGCTACGACCACACAAAAGGCCACACCATCTTGATCTTCAGCCTTCGATTGACATGCTAAACCCATCTGGAGAATCCCATCGTCTTGAAATCTCTAACCCGGAACACCTTGAAAGTTTAAATGATCATAAATTGTACGAGGCGGTCAAGTTAAATTGTTTCCCTTCTGTGGACCAAAAATGCCCGTTAACTGCCTATTCCTTATTGGGCCAATGCGGCAAGTCGAGGTGTCGAGGAAGTCTTTACCTTGTCTCCATTTCCTATTCATGCCAGGCCTGGGGCCTACACCTCGAGACGTAGCAGTTACCAGGGCAGTGAGGCCTCAAAGTCGGCAGAACTTTGTCCGCGTGTCATCACTGCCGCCAGCCTCCAACTGTCGCCGCATGCTTCTCAACCCCTCGGCGTCGTCCGACAGGAGCGCAGCAAGGCGCGTTGGAAGACCACCTTTCTGCATGACATCACCGATTTGTCGGTGCATCCGGGCCCCTTACTTGCAACCGCCAAGTCGGAAGGTAACGGCCCTAACGCCCCCGGCAACTGTACTACTAACAAATCGTCCGGTTCTAGGAGTTCTGCTCTTCTCGGTCTCGCAAGTCCGGCCATCCGTCCCACTCCCAGTCATGCTGGAGGCTTCGTGAGTTCGACGTCGGCCTCGGCTTCTGATGCAGGCGGTAGACGAAAAGAGGGCAGAGACGATAGCTTTTATCACTTGACCAAGACGGTCGCCAATCCGGGGCAGATGGGACTCCAGACATGCCCTCTGATCGTATGCTCCGGCTCCTTGAATATGCGCGATCGGCGAGCCAGCGATCAAAGCGTCCACTCCAATTCCGGTTCTGAGGCTCGCGGGCAGCCAAATCAGTCAGACAGCATGACGTCACATTCACTCCCCGGAATCCGGTTGCCAAGGAAGCAGTATCCGATGCCACCAGCGACGCCGGCAGAATCTACACAAACCCCGTCGACTCCGACGATGTCGGTGGCGTCGGCGAACGTAAACATCGAGCCTAAGGAGGCTGATAAGAGGGAATGCGTCCAAGGTGACAATTTGGCCAAGCCCAACTCAAAGACGCACCGGTACGAGCATCAACTCCTCCGGAATCACCATAGCGACGGCGGTGTATACGAGGACAAAGGCAAGATGGATGACGAAAGTAAGCAGCAGACGAGCCGTTCGGAGTTGTCCAGTTCCGGTCGAGCTGACCGGATCGTCTCGCCGGGCAGGACGGAGGCTGGTTCAAGAGTGAACGAAATCAGCGACGAAGATGGCGTGCCGCAGCGTATGGATGGAGTAGAGATGGTTAGTGGACGAGAAACCATTAATTCTAGCACTTTATATTTATTCCTATTGACCAGCAACTTGACTTTTTTATTAATCCGCCTATTAAGCTTTGTTTGAGATCATTTTGTGAACCAGTAAGCATTTATTTTTACAAAATCAAATTCTATTAGAATTTGAATGTAATCGTCTTAGTTTACCCCAAAAACTGGTAAGGTAGTTTATTCAACAATACGAGATCGGAACTACAGTACAACTTTGATGCTAAAATCTTCTGAAACGCAATGCCGTATATTCATGAGGCCCACTCATAACATTGTGAAACTGACTCCATTATCAGGGGCTTAAATGCTCTTATGCGACCTCGGTTTCTTATTCGGGATTTATTGCTTATTATGAAATTTCCTCGTACCAACTAAAAGTAATGTATAAGTTGATTTTCGGAACTATCAGTAGATCAAATATATGAAATGTATTTATCCTATTTCGTTTAAGGTGATAAGTTGAATTTTTCCAAAATCAAATGAGTAGACATTACGTTTCCAGTGAATTTCACACAGCATTTTGCCAAAGCAAGACTGTAAAATTCAATGGAAACGTAATTTCTACTCATATCATTGTGGGAAAATTCAACTGCTAGCCTCCCTATCAACATAAAGGAATATAAACATGTTTGCCATTATAAATGTAATTTGAGATACGTCATGCCTGCCCTAAAGTCACACCGGCCCGTTGATGTGTGCCGTCACGATACGCATGTCCGGATTTCGATTCCCTGTGGTCGGGATGATGAAGCCTAGTTGAAATCAAATCTCAAGTCCACTTTGGAAGTTATTCTTCCAAAATTACTGCCATTTTCGAAGTATACACATATTACGTACATTTTATGGGATCTTACTGGCAGTAGATTGCTCGCAATCCTTATAAATCTCTTCAAGAATTAAAAAACTTTGTATAAGTTTCAGAACGAGTTGATGGACAAATCTTGATTATGCGGAGAAAATTTTGGTTTCGGGGAATCTCATGTTCTATAAGTGTTGAGTCAAGAGGCCTCTAAACTAATCGAGATTTGAGGTTACTTTCATTTAGAGTGAAAGTGTTTGAGGAAGA